TTACTTTGTTCACTGTTTTTGCAACTACCACCATCAGATCATTTGTGATCTGATGGCTGGGAAGCACTCTGCCGTGATTTCCGGTGGGAGGTCTCTGTTTCTTTTTTTTTTTTGGTCTTTTTCCTGTTTTCTCAGCCCAGAAATTCGTAATGAACGTGTCTGGCCGCCGCCACTCAGTGTCACACTGGATCGGCCACATTCCTATCCGACTGCTAATGGGACCACACCCCTGAGGGGAGGCACAGGGATTGGTCCTGTTGGCATGGTCCCTGATGCTACCGGCTGTCCCCTAGCCGGTATCGCCCACCTGCAGGTCGGGAGCAGCCCCCGCATGTTCTCTTGTGAACACAGTTCTGGCATGTTCTCTCGTGAACACAGTTTTGGCTGCTACAGGGTTCCCCGTATGCCTACAAGTAGTAGTAGTGGTAGGTAGGTAGTGTGAGGTGAAATTGAGAGAAGAATATAGCTTTTTTAAAATAATAATAATAATAATAATAATAATAATAATAATAATAATAATAATTCATTACCAAGGATTGAAATGATGCCGGGGACCTCGCAATTCAACAACCCGGAGTTATCCTTGGGCTGAGAAATATCTAGGCACAGAAATTAGCCAAATAAGGGCTGAATAAGCCAAATAAGGGATGTTGTCCTGAAGCCTCAGGCTCTGGAACAAAAATTCACTGCAAGCCTGAAAAAAAAGCCTCACAAAGGGCAAGGAACCTGAAAGAATCAGGCTCACAAAAACAGAAGCCACAAGCCTAAAACACCAAATGACCCCAAAAACAAAAAGCCACTGAACAACTTTTGCCTCAGAGCTCTTAACAACTATTGGTTTTTCATTTTTTTTTTTAAATAGAAGAAAAAGTCAAATTAAAAACAAAAACATGGGGTTGTAGAGCGCGAAGTGGTTTGGCCAGGTGCGGAAACAGTGGGTCATCTTCAACGGGACTTTCCAGCTGTTTTTTCGTAACTCGTTTACACTTCAGCCTGGAGACTCCCTCAGATCTCCCGATTGTTTCCCAGATTTTTTCCGTCCTTTGGAATTCTCCCTCAGATCGCGGCCGTGGCCCAACCATGGGGCTGTTTTTTTTTTTTTTTTCCAGCCGCGGAGCGGCACCGCACGGCGCGGCGACCGAAAAAAAAAAACAAAAAAAAAAACAGAAAGAAAGAAAGAAACAGCCATGTGCCTGACTGAACTGCTGGAAAAAGCCAGCCCGAGTTTCAAACTGCTAAACGCAGTTTCAAATGCAATTGAAACTCGGGCCCTGACTGAACTGCTAAAACGCAGTTTCAAATGCAATTACAAACTGTAACCCTGACTGCGCCGTAGTTTTCTCATCTATCTATCAATCTATCTATCTGTCTATCTGTCTATCTGTCTGTCTGTCTATCTGTCTATCTGTCTATCTCCCTTTCTGTCTTGATGGATATGGATAGCATGCAAATGCATTGATTGATGGATTGATTGATGGAATTGATTGGTAGATGAACTGATGGATTGGCTGACAGCTTGACTTATGTAGACGAGATGATAGATGGGATTAGAAGGAAACAGAGCCTGAGTATTAAGATTCGACCCAAAGAGGATCAAATAGGGGGATATTAGAATGGGTCTAATGGGATGTCGTAGAAGATTCAACGACTCTGCCATGAAAAGGGAAAGACCACCCCGTTTAGCTGAAATAGCTCATAAAGAGAAGATAGGAAAAAAAATAAAAAGAGGCTCAGATACAAGAAAGGCCTAACATATTCCATGGATAGACTTTAAATAGGCTGTGAAAAGACCTTTGCACTGTTTGTTATCTCAGGCGCGACAGTGAAGGAGACGCTGATGGACGCGGCTTATTTTATGTACTATATAGATACATTTCAAATAGGCTTCATTAGGGGCAAGGGGAAACATGAAATCTCCCCTTCACAGAGAGAGGAAACTATGCTTGCAGGGGTCCCCTCTAGATAGTCTTAGGAGTAGGTAGTGGAATGGTAAAAAGAAACAGAAGTTGAGAGAAGAATATAGAAAGAAAAGAGAAAAAAAAGAAAAAAAAATTCAAACAGATCAGAAAGGCTGAAAAGAGTATTGTTGTGTTCATCTGAAAGCTAACAAAAAACAACATACGGAAGGGCCGGAGTTCTTTTTTTTTTTTTAAGCCCTTTTGTTAAGGCCACTATTCTATGCACTATATAGATGGGGTAATCGCTTTTAGGCAGAGGTATCGAAACAAACAAATTGTGCATTGATTGAGCATTGTGGGTGCCAATAGACTGGAGCCATCACAAATTGAGCCGGCCTACTCTGGAAAGATGCTCATACTGCCTTCAATAGTACGCGGTTCTGTGATGCTTTGCCTGAAAAAAAACAGAAAAAAAAAGGAGCATTGAGGTTGCCTTGAGTGGGGGATTTCGGGGGGTTAGGGCATACTCACAGTAGTGCTTTCTTTGATGTAACTGACTGCAATTACGGCTGGGCTTGATTGCAATCACGTCCACAGCTGAGTCAAACACGTCCTAGTGTGAGTATGCCCTCAGAAGAGCTAAGGGATGCTTAAAAGGCCAAACCACCAAGATAGCTTTCGCTGATTGCTTTTCACTGTGACAAGTACAACAAGGCATATATATATATATATATATATATATATTCTCCTTTTTCCCCGTACTAAAGCGTAACTGTCGTCCCAATGCAGGTTTGGAAGCATGTGGGTGGTGCGCTTCTCTTTCTGGTGCTGCTTGTACTTCTCAGCCACAACCTTGGTTGAGGACTGCAGCTGCCTCAGGCTGCCGCCCGCCAATGGCGGCGGCAAGTGCAGATTCCCGGAACCTCATGTTCGGGCGGCAAAGACAGAGGTGATGACAGCCATGGGGGCAGCATCCTTAGGGACGAAGCGGGTCCATTCTTGGCTATCATGCAAGGAGGAGGGGAATGATGCCAAGGACGTGAAGGCGGGGATTGTCGCCCCGTGGGGACACATATCATCGCCCCCGCCGTCCATTGCTGTCCTTGACCGGGGCACAAATGCTGGATCACAGTGAGAAGACCCCGTCCCCATCGACCACCGAGATGTCACACACGCGGATCGCGCCGATGAGTCGGACGACGCAGCAATTATGTTTGACGCTGTGCGGCAGGCTTTGGAACGGTCGGCGGGTGATAACGACCACGGCAAGGAGCAGCACAATGCCGTCGAGGTGGGGACCACAAGGATGACGTCATCACGTAATATGTTCCCGGGGGCAGGGAAACGACGTAGAAGGATGTTGGCTATGGAGGAGAAGAGGAGGAGGATGAACACGAGAGATGATGACCTCCAAAGTGAAAATGAGGGGAAAGAAGCATGGTTATCATCACCACGACAGAGGGTGCTGGAAGAAGATGGGGGTAGCATGGCGGCTTTATTTGTAAACGTCACCGATGCATTGTCCCTGTTGAGGGAAATGAGAGACATGTCGACGGGCGCTCCGTCAAAAACGATCGTACTGTTGCAGAATGTCTCTTATCAGGGTCGGTCTGTTTTGGGTCTCACACTAGATAGCTCCACTCAGGTGGTCTTGAGAGGCGAGTGCGGGGGGGAGCGATGTGTTATCGATGGCGGCTCGGATGAGTCCCGCTGCTTGTACTACAACGGATTTAACGCTTCTGGCTCCCTCCTTATGGCTGACCTGGAGTTCAGGAACCTGTGTTTCGAGTTCTTTCAGCCCAAGGTGGAAATCCACAACTGTGTCTTTCGCGACAGCAGTGGGATCCGGATGATGTTCCATCCCAACTTGACAGAGGATCGTTCCACTTCTACTAAGCAGCTGGCAATCCACGAGTGCTACTTCACCAACATCCAAAACGGTTTAATTCTGGAGGAATTACCAGCGACTGCTTGCATTTCGCACTCGGTGTTCGCCTCGGGAGAAAGAAATGAGAGCGTGCTCACTGTGCGGACGACTGCTTTCTTCCAGGAGAAAAACCTCACTGTCTTCAACTGCACCTTCCGCAGCGCCACGTGGCCCATCGGTACGATGGGACCCGTCCGGGTAGAATCGGCAAAGCTAACTTCTTCCCAAGGAGATTCTTCGCCAACAGAGGTGCCGAGGTATTCCCTACCGGCAGATGCCACCCAACTTCCATCATACAACAGCACAGTGTCGTTCATCAACTGCACTTTTCTCAAAGGGAACTCCTGGAAAGAGGCGGTGTCCGTCATCACGAATCACTCGGAGCCATTCTACTCCATCCTGCCATATCGCAACGTTAGATTATGTTCCGTACGATTCGATGTGACAGATGAAAAGAGTGCAGACGGGGCAGACGTAGCTGAGCGGGCTTTTGACGACTTCAAAACAAATATAGAGATCTGCCCGTGGCTTGGGGTGGGGGCGAGGGAGGTGATCATGCTGGAGAGCCAAAGCACTCCGACAACCACTCGCCCGGGTACGGCGATATCAGCGATGAGTATGGACCGCATCAACGGTAGTTCCACCGGATGTAAGACCTGTGCGCGCCTTGAGATGCCGGTGTGCAACATCGTCGACAAGCCCGATGGCGGTGAGAGACGTCCTCAGACTCAGAGTCTGTCCCCTGCCCCCAAACCTCCGCCGCCGCAGCCAAGGGGCAACTGGGTTCTGCCTTTGTCTCTCACCATTGCATTGGCTGTGGTGATAATTGTTGTGGCAGCTGGCCTATTCTTGAGAAGGAGAAGGCCACCTTCATGGATTCGGCTTGGGGATAAATGTTCAAGAGGAGGGATGGAGTCCATGTCGGAGGAAGTGCTTCGGATGCGGCAGTTCACTTGGAGGGAACTCAAAGAGGCGACACACAACTTCACGACCGTCATTGGCAAAGGGGGGAGCGCCACTGTGTTTAAGGGAACCTTCCGAGGGACGAAGGAGATGGTCGCAGTCAAATCTCTCAAGCAAGACCAATGGCGGAACGAGAAAGAGTTTTTGCACGAGGTGGGTATTTTAGGGAGAATATCTCATAGAAACCTTGTGCGTCTGCTCGGCTTCTGCAACCAGAAGGGAACTTACTTTCTCGTCTTCGAGCTTGTCCCTCGAGGGACTCTCAAGGACCACCTTTACTTGAAGCAACCATCCCTATCCTTGTCCGACTCGGAGGGAAAAGGAAATGCCAATGACACATTAGCGGCGGCAGAAAGATCGTGTCTTGATTGGCCTACGAGGATGCGTATAGCCGCCGAGGTGGCCAGCGCTTTGGAGTACCTCCACCACCTGCTCATGCCTCCGCTTGTGCATCGGGATATCAAGCCGGAGAACATACTGCTTCTCGACGATTTCACACCCAAGGTCTCGGATTTTGGACTCTGTCGGAAGTTCGACCGGACAGGGGAAAGCTTGGAGACGGTGCCCGCCGGAACCGTAGGATACATGGCGCCAGAAATATACGACGGGCTGAGTGTGACGGAGAAGGTGGATGTCTACAGCTATGGTGTCTTGGTGCTGGAGATAGTCACAGGAAGGCGGCCATTCGGCGGCGAAGGGTTCTCGTTGGTCAACTGGGTCAGAGATGTGGCCACGGATGAGAAAGCAGCAGAGGCTGTGGCGGACCCGCAGCTGCAAGGCAATTTCAACTCCACTCAGCTTTACTTGATGACGAGGCTAGCGAGGAGATGCGTGTGCCGAAGTGCAGAGCGCAGGCCGACAATGGAGGATGTCACCAGTGCAATGGAGAGAATACGGCAACTGGGACACCAGGTAGTCGATGAAGGGGTGAGGCAGCTCTTGAGTGCCCTCGAGAATGTGGAGAGGGAGAGTCAGGGGCTGAATATGGACGAATCAGACCTGAACATACCCGCAGGGAAGTATACAGAGGATACCCAGTGGATGTCTGCGTTATACGTGCCAATGCGCAGGGGATGATGAGACGAGCCCAGCTCATGCGGCATGAAGTCAGAAACGAAATAGGTGTATAGTGGCATAGGGACTCATGTGCCTTAGACTCTGAAGAGGACAAACGGAATAGAGGCATACATATGAGGGGAAGGCATAAAAGTGACATGAAACATGAAGCATGAGGTCTGACCTGAAGCTGGTACCGGATACAGGGCACAAAAAGGATTGAAGCAGTACACAGGCAAAAGACAGTGGTGAGAAGGGGAAGAATCATCGGAAAAGGAATTGGTGTTTTCCTCCCCATAAGGAGGAATCCCTGGCCAGGGGTGAGATGGTTGATGAGGCGATTGGATACCAAGGGGAGTCTCCCAGCCTCAGGGGGACCATCCGCAGCCATGGGTACTGCCCTTTTTATGGCAGTGGTTTTTTTGTGTTCTCTTGTACTTTCTATGCTTGTCGGTGATAACCAACTAGACTGCTGCCCCCCAGAAAAATAGACAGCGCACCCATGTGAGTCTGGGTTTCAAAAAAAAAAAAAAAAAAAAAAAAAAAAAAAGTGTTTTTTTTTTTTTTTTTTTTTTTTTTTTTTTTTTTTTTTTTTTTTTTTTTTGGCCTTTTTTTTTTTTTTTTTAAATTGGGTTACAAAAAAAAAAAAAAAAAAAAAAAAAAAAAACGGTACTATTAGAAGTGTCTGTTAACTTGAAGATGGAATCGGTCGCTTCTTCTCTCTCTTCTTCCTTCTTCCTCCTTCCCTCTTCTTCTTCTTCGTCTTCGTCTTCTCTTTTTTGTTTTTTTTTAATATCATGCCCAGGTTGTTGTTGGATACTACCTTCTTCCCTCGAACACAACGCACCCTCATTTTGACTGAATCGGGCCGCAAGCATACCTTGTATACGTTCATTTTCACCGTGCGTTATGTTCGGGGGAAGACCGTAGCCATATGACAGTTGCCTTCGGTAGTCGCTACTAGTCAGCCATGTGGTTATCCAGATGATCTACAGAGGACATCATTCCTTGCGGGTCTCCCTCCCAACCTACCAGTATTTCATCATTGGTCCCTGGCGCACCCCCACCCCACGATCCCACCTCAGTGTCAGTGTCTACCACTCAGGAATCAGGATTGTTACCCCACAATCATCTCGACGGAGGCAACCTGACCGGACAGCGGATCCAGGTACCAAAGCTAAGCTGGACATAATTACCCCACTCAGCCCTGATCGAAGCATATAGTCAAACGAACCCTGTCGCCCGGGTACTTCGGGCGCTATAGTATATTAGACATTCGTGTAGAGAAACTTCAACAGGCTTGAGCTGGCGCGCGTTAGCGCTAGCGCTATGGCTGGCGGGCCGCCGCGGCATGCGGATGGTGGCATGCTGGTTGCTTGCAGGCGAGGCGCTGGCTGGTTGGAGGTGGCGGGGCGCTGGCTTCTCGCAGGTTGCGAGGCGCTGGCTTCTCGCGAGTGGCGAGGCGCTGGCTGTGTGAGTGCAGCGAGGCGCTGGCTGTTGGCGGGGGGCGAGGCGCTGGCAACAGGTGAGGGGTGGGGCGCTGGTGACTTGCGGCTGGCGAGGCGCTGGCTTGGGGTGACTAGTAACATGCTAGCTGACACGTGGCGTGGTGCTAGCAGCCGACGGGAGGGAGGCGCTGGTGCGAGGGTGCTGTGATGTTGTGAATTAGATGGGGGATAGCGCTTGACGCACGCGCGGTATCCAGAGGCGCTGGGCCATTACTACGTCACAGGCTGACGTGGCATCTGGCCTGAGGCACAGAGGAAAAGGGAAAATGGTAGTGGCAGCTACTGTTTGAACATTTTCCTTGTGTTTTTCACATGAAGTAGTCCATAGCCAAGACGTTTAAAGAGGCTGGAGAGCTCATGCGAGTTGACGAAAGTCGATGTCGGTGGAGGAAAGTGGAGTCAGCCCCGTGGAGACCAAAGTGCGGAGAACGTTGGTCCTACTTGAAGAATCATCACAGTGCCACTGGGAGAGTATCATCAAGAGAGCGGCTAGGAGGTCATCATCAACCTATATATGTGCTTTCGTTTGTTTTTTGTCTTGTGCAGGTTATCCATCAAGAGCATCAAGATTTTCATCATTGTGATTTCAGCGGGGGGTTTTCATCAAGGACACCGTCATTTTTGTAATCCTCATTTGGTTACCGGTGGTAATCATCATCGGCTTCTCCAATTCATCATCCATGTTATTTATCTTCTTTTTATCTTCTTCATGATCATCATCCGGACTTCTCTGTAAAAATTGTAATCATCCTCATCTTCTATTTTCATTACAGCAATAGTGAGTTGTCAATCTTCCACACCGATGCCATTAGGGCATCGCAAGTCCGATGTTCCTTACTTATTTTCGCCAATTTTATTTCATCATCATCATCATCATCATCATCATCTACCAATCTGAATCTTTATCATCATCATCATCATCATCATCATCATCAATCATCATCATCATCACGGTTTCTTTATTCATTTTTTCATCAATCGGTAGTTATCTCTGTGTTGGTGGTTATATTCTCATCTCCCAGATAGGCTATGGTCTAGTTGGTAGGTAGGCTGGTCAGGAAGGGAGCGCTACTCCGCAAGGGTAACACAAGGTGGGAGGTGATTGCCCTCCAGGGAGTAGACGCAGACGATGGGAGCTGACCTGGGTTGGGGCTGGGAGATATGTATGGGGCCACATTATCTCCTGGCGGAGGCAAACTAGGTCAGAGTGTTCGTTTTGAGGTACACCTTTTGGGGAAACTGGTTACCTCAGGGTAGAAGGGAATGGGGAGGTTCTCTCTCTCGTTGGGGCTGATAGGAACTTCATGCTGATAGCGGGGTTGGGCTCAGCGGAGGCAGCGAGAGGAGAAGAGGAAATGAGGGGAGAGGAGGAGAATACATGGAAGAAGCGGAGGGGTGGAAAGAAATAATCATCAGCGTCGTGTCATTATCCATCATCTTTGTGATCTTCTCAGGGTACTCGTCAAATTTCATCATCAGAAAGTTTTGCTGATCAGGATTCTGATATTATTAGATGCTTGATTTCTGGTTGGCATTCTAGATTAGCTAATTTCCTAATTGAGTCTTCTTGTGTAATGGCCAGGTTGAGTTGCCGCCAGAACGACGCTAGCCGGCGCTGGGGCAGTGTCCTGTAACCTGATTGTGTAGGAGCTTGAGGCTTTGTATAGAGGTCTGGAATTGCCGAGGGAGGAAGGCAATCTGCAAACTTGACTAATGGCTACAATCTGGCCGACGATGGTCGGAGCTGGGGTGGGTAGCACTGCCCTGTAACCGAGCCAGATTGGGGTGTGAGACCAGGAAGAGGCCTGATTGGTGCACAAAAAAAAAAAAAAAAAAAAAAAGACATTCGTCTACAAGTCCCGTAGGTAGACCCCACCCCTATCCAGCCCCTAAGTCGTCGTATGATTCGTTATGTGTACTGCTGTCTAGTTTTGACCTAGAGGTTCTAGCCTATTGTCAGCAGATAGATGTACAGCCCCCTATCCGCCCTCTACCTATAAACGCTCCCCTAGACCTTCTAGCCTATTGTCAGCGGATGTAAAGCCCCCTATCCGCCCTCTACCTATAAACGTTCCCCTAGACCTCTCTCTAGTCACATTGGGTTGTTCAGGTTGCAACCCCACTTGTTGTACCGGTACGGTCCCAAGACATCCCCCTTGACAGTCCTTCTGCCACCCACCCCCAGTGAATATTACCACCCACCCCTTAGCTAGTGGTTAACCATCGTCAGAGCAGGACAACCCCAATCTTCTCTGGTCATATCCTTGAATGCCCTGGAACCAACTCCCTTCCACATGGCGGCCTTCCAATCCAGGCTCCTCACACCCCATTTCCTACCCCCTCTAGAACTAACTTGTATCCATTATGTGCTTGATCAGACTACTTGGATTTGCACCCTGGACCTGACCCAAATTTGAACCCTGTACCTGACCCAAATTTGAACCCTAAACCCTAAACCCAAATTTGAACCCTGGACCTGACCCAAATTTGAACCCTGGACCTGACCCAAATTTGAACCCTAAACCCTAAACGCAAATTCGAACCCTAAACCCTAAACCCAAATTTGAACCCTAAACCCTAAACCCAAATTTGAACCCTGAACCTGACCCAACACACAACAATCGTGGACTGAACCCCTCGGGTGGTGCGGGCGGCAATGTCTGTAATCCTTACGGGACACCAATCCCGAGGGGAAGGTGTGTATAGTAGTGCGACGGTCAAGAGCCGCCGGTGTCCATGCGCGCGGCTGCAGAGTTTCGAACCCACAACCTCAGACCACAATGCGCATTTCCAACCGGTGCTTCACCCACTGAGCTAATCAGCTGTACTCTTTGTCGTCTTCTCGTTTGGTAAGAAGGAACTTGTAATGTGTGTATGATACACAGCTTTGGCCACTGCTTCTCATTCTTCTTCTTAATATTTTTACGCTTATTCTTCCTTCTTTCTTCATCTTCTTTCTTGTTTCTTTTTCTTCTTCTTTGGTCTTTCTCCCTTTTCTTTGGCTGGTCGGCCTGGTCTGGATGCAGCATGCAGCCTGCCTTTCCAGTCACCGCAGCTTCATAGCTGCCCCCTCTCCCCCCCCTCTATCCATGACCACAACTCTGTACTTGTGTTTTCGGTGCTCCATGCAGACACTAAGCGTCGATTTGTCATCATATCAAACTGTTTATGCTGAGCATGAGCGTCGTTTGTAATGACCCTCTCCCCCCCTCCCTCCTTGGGAATAACAGTTCCATTCTTCTCCTCCGCCAGCTGCATCGATCTTTGGCTGTATCCATGAGAGAACTACAAAGCTACCGTCTTCCCCCGAACATAACGCACCCTTAAAATGAATGTATAGAAGACATATTTCCGGCCAGATACAGCCAAAATGAGGGTGCGTTGTGTTCGGGGGAAGACGTAGCTCTAGCAGCCGGTGCTTCTGCCTCTGGGAGAAAATATACATGGTGGATATCTGAGAACTCTGCTTCCTCCCTCCCCCGCCCCCCGGCTGACGACCTTGCGGTGATATCTGTTCACTCTGCTCTGCTCCCTCCCTCCTGCCGGATGTCGACTGCCTCCCGATTTTCGAGGCGGCATCTGACGTGAGGGCCATCTGGAAGCTCTGACAGAAAGCCTGGAGGCTGGACCGCTTTCTGCACAAACAAAAAAAGAAGAAAAGAAGACACGATATGGATCAGAATTTTGTCTCTTCTTGAATTTTTCAACGGAGGGGCGCATATTCTGTGAAAAGGGGTTGCCCCAACATCGACGGCCTTGGTTCAGTTGATTGTCCCAGCTTACTTCTCCTTGTTTGGGGTGCAAGGATAGGGTAAGTGCCACTGGGGTACCATAGTATTGATTGGATGGGGAGGAGTGTCTCGTAGGAAGCACCCTCTGATTGGATGGGGCTAAGGGCCAGATCCAACAGGCAAAGAGTATTGGAATAAGTGGCAGAATCTGGACGTGTTCCACACAGAGATGCAGAAAAGCAGACCAGTCACAATTTTTTGGCACATCTCGACAAACACGTCCAGGTTTCAGATCAGCCCGCTGGTGTCAGCATGAAACCCAGACCACTTTGGAGGCTGCCATTTTTTTCCTTTTCAACAGCGCCCCACGCCGCGCAGCCCCTCAAGTTTTGCTTGTGGCGACAAAAACTTTCTGCAAGGCTCGGGCCGTGTACTTGCGGTTTAAGGAAAAAACAAATAATATTAATTCACAAAACAAATATAAAGGAATTGATCAAGACTATTTTTTTTTTTTTTTTTTCTCTGTTCTTTCTACACTCTTCTCTCAACTTCTGTTTCCCCCCACCATTCCACTACCTACTCCTAAGACTATCTAGAGGGGACCCCTGCAAGCATAGTTTTCCTCTCTCTGTGAAGGGGAGATTTCATGTTGCCCCTTGCCCCTAATGGTTAGGGAATAGGGTTGGGGCCGCCAGTGGGGGTCTGGCTAACACAAAGACCGAGACCTGCCAGTAGCTGTGCCTCCCTTTCTCATCGTCCCCCACCCTTCATCGAGTAGCAGCAGAGGCTATGGCCAACACTCTCCCACACACCACACACAACCCACTCGCGCTCACACTCACACCCCTGTTGGTCATAGACCCCGCTAATACCGATCAGGGGTACTCGGTGACTTTTTTTTTTTTTTTTTTTTTTTCCCAACAAGAAACAGTAGTTTTATTAGGGCCCATAAATGCAAAGAATTTAAGTTCAGCTTTCCCGAGTTTTTCATATACATAGAAAAACTTATAGCGGTCATAAAAGAAAAGAAAATAATTTTAATCTAGGCTACCAGCCGGGCCGCCTGGGTCCCGGGTGGCCAGCCCGTGCAAGGAAATCACAGACTGCATATCGAAACCAGCAGTACAGCACACTTGTAAATGACAAGGACGCTTTGTTGTATCATCCAAGCATCATCATAAAGAACAGACTAACGTTAACACGTGGCTGCGAACAGTGGTCACAACTTGAAGCTTGAAGATGAGAGCGATGAATGATGCGATAACCCGTCGTCTTGTTGACGACCAAAACTCGGTCCTATGTCCCTACGGTCCACCAACCCCGTCGCATCTTCGCCACTCGGCGAAAGAGGAGACCATCGGTCTATGATATGATTCATTATATCTTATTGTCAACGGGAAATCCTCGTGCCTGAATGCCAGTCCGTCAGTACCACGCCAAACCACACCACACTTTTGCCCTCCTGGCGGTTCAAGGGCCCAAAAAAAGTCCGAGTTCCCACATGGTCGCCGATTCGAAACCCGGAAGTCAAAAACGAAAGCAGGGAAAAACAGCCCGTGCAAGGACAAGGGAAGGTCCCAGCGCGAAAAAAAAAAAAAAAAAAAACTGAAAAAAAATGATGTTATGCAGAAAAATAAACTAAACAACTTTTGCCTCAGGGTTACATTGAAATTCTTCACCAAATTTAGATTTTTAAATCATCATTTTTTTTATTTTATTTTTTTTATTTTTTTTTTTGGCCCGGCCGGGCAAGTGACCCCGGGCCACTCAGGTAGCCTAGATTTAAATTAAAAATGAATGAAGAATTAGGCTTAATATGTTGAAAAGTCGTTTTTGGTACTTTTTACGCTATAGATTAAGAAAATGATAGAGAAACAAACAGTGGACCTCGGCCTGAAAGACTTCCTGTGCTGCCAGTGGGTGTCCCAATGCAGCTCTTTTTTCTTTTGTTCTTTTTTCTTTTTTCAGACCTCTCTAGTCGCAGGGATGACACTTTCAGAGTTGGGGTTGGCATGGGGTGGACAGGGGTAGAAAGGTCCTGGTAGTCTAGACGGGTGGAGGTCGGGTCTGGGGAAGAGGGGGAAGTGATGGTGGTGAGGGCTATGCGTTGTGTGTATTGGGAGTGGGAGGGTGGGGAGGGGTGGTGGTGGAGGGGTAGGGACTTGGGTGTGTGGCTCAGGGGCACCAGTATGAAATTTCTGGGCTTTGTCCCATTCTGAAGTGGTCCTTCGGCCGTCTTTCCCACTCTCTCTCTGTTGAGAGCCAGGGTTGCAATGACAGGTTGTTTGCCTGGCCCAGGCTGCACTGTCTGTTTTTTCCATCCGTCCACAGCCTGTGCGAGGAAGCCCTGACGGATGTCGTTTCTCTTTGTGGCCTGCGGCTCGTTCTGTAACATAGCCCGCATCTCCAACCAGGCATCATGGGTGACGGACGGCCTCCGGCTCTTTCTGTC